GGTGCAAATTAATGATGTGCCATTATCTCTTAAAAAGAAAAGACGAAAACAAAGTCGCGCATCAGACAAAAATATTATTTGAAATAGTTACAAGAATATGAAACAAACTTGTCCAAAGGGTTCAGCATTATACTAAAGTGAAAGTGTACTAAAGATCAATAAAATAGCAGAAGCCACAGGTACATTTTACTAAAGAATTAATTTACCACAATATGTATTACGTCTGTGTTGTTATATATTTGTGTCTACACCAAACAAATATCTAGAAGAGGATAGGTTTTGTGAGTTGTATAATGTCATCGATTATACATATGGTAGAGCAATTTGTGATTAAAATCGAGCAATCATAATCGTCTTCGGCGTTTTCATCTGGTGAAGAGAGTGATGGAAAGGAGACAGTTCAAAGTATGGAGGGTAGTAGTCAGTCTTCGGCAGACTCCAATTTTTGTGAGACATAGGGCATTTAATTGTAAATCGTTTGGCAAAAAACTAAACTTTATTTCATTCCCGTTTTTTTTAATAATTATTATAATAGAAAATTATGTATTTATTTATTGGCACATGGCAAGTGTATTTATAATTTTTTTCTTGCCAAAGCATCAAATAAGTAATTCTATTCCATAGAAGCAGCTAATTAATAACAAAAGCAGTAATTATGATTCTGTTCGTCTTTCATTACATTATTAGATATTTTCTGGGTATTTTATTTACAAAAGAATCAATCATAAATTGGTTTAATATGTTCAACACGATAAATAAAAAAATAAAAGTATCAGTTTATGTTATAATATAAAACAAGCTTTCAAATAATATAATTATGTTTTGTCGCTGCCGGAAACCGACTACCACTTTTGAACCATCTCCTTTATCTACATACATATTAGCTTTGCTTGTAGGTACTTGATAAGAATAATAAGTTGATAAGAGTAGTTTATGTAGAGATGCGGACTATTGCTGATGGTTGTGTCTCAACGACTTCATTTAAATATGAATTTCCAATGCAGAGCAAAATTTCTCATGGCTAATATTTGTTCATTGGCACAATTTATGAATATCGTTTAAGTCTTTTGTTAGTAAAACATGATAGTTTGCTAGAGAATCAAGACATAAGTTAAACTAGCGGCCGCCCGCGACTTAGTCCGCGTTAACTTTAGATATTTTTTAATCTCTCAAGAACCTGGATCGGTGAAATTATAAAAGGTACCTATCAATCAAATCAAACTATCAATCAGAAGTATGTTAACTTCTGTTCTTCCAGGTTCTTGAGAGATTAAAAAATATCTAAAGTTACCGCGGACGTCCGCGGACGTAACGTTCGCGGAAGTAGCGGGCGGCCGCTAGTTTAACTTATATCTTGATTCTCTAGCAAACTATCATGTTTTACTAACAAAAGACTTAAACGGTATTCATAAATTGTGCCAATGAACAAATATTAGCCATGAGAAATTTTGCTCTTTGAAGAGATAAGAGCTGTAACGCTCTTTACCCAGTTAGGAGCTATATAACTCTTCTAGCTCAGTGGCTCTTTTGGCTCAGTGTAGTTCATGCAGGAAGAAGGCTCTTGAGTCATTTTAAATGTGTACAGATCAGACTCACTCGATTGACACTTTTGAGTTATACCACAGTAGGTAGTTAACACCTACTTCCTATTATAATTTATTTTTTTGAAAGTATAGTTATTATCGATTCCCATGAAACACTGAACTAAATGATATACTGATATGAATTGAAAGAGTCTGAGCTAGATATACGTTGAGCTAAAATCTTTTTAACAATTCGCTCGCGAGCTACTCATCGCTATATAATATGCAAGGTACTTAGTTGCTAAACACCGATACTTGAGCTTCATCCTGACTAGCGTTATATCAGGAAGGAATAGCTGTAAACTGAACGTCTAAATTCAGTTATCGATTTATCCGTAGTTAGCAGACGTGTTGAACAAGCGGAGGAATGCGGATGTTTGAGTGTGTTTGTTTGCCGTTTAGTCGTATGTATTGTCTAATGTAATCAGAGTTAATGAATTCATCCCTAGTTAGCGTACTGTCGATACACATGTACAATGTGAAATAAAGTACCTATATAGTGGTCAGACTATGATTTACAAGCGGCAAATACAACTCAACTACAAACTTGAAGAGCACGATGGCGCAAGTGGTTAGCGCTTTCGGCTGCGATCGTTGAAGTTAAGCAACTTTCGCAGTGGTCGGTCATTGGATGGGTGACCAAAAATTACTATCTCCAGCTCCTCCGTGCTTTGGAAGGCACGTTAAGCCGTTGGTCCCGGCTGCATCTGCAGTCGTTAGCACCCACCAATACTGTACTACCCACCAATACTACCCGCGTAGTGGGTCATGACCCAATCTCCCTATTCCATCCATAGGGAAGGCCTGTGCCCCAGCAGTGGGGACATTAATAGGCTGTTGATGAAATGCAACTCAATATGCAATTATTATTGTTTTTAGGAATCAAGTAAGTTAATCAATCCTTTGCAGAAAATAGATAAGAAGAGAACATTTACATTAAAATAAATAACCCTTCCCTGTCTGTCATTACTGTAAATAAAATAATATTTCTTTACTTTAAAGTCACATTGAGTTTCATGGGAAAGCTTTACATACAATTGCCCCAATTCTTGAGATGATGCTGTGACAGTCTGTATTACACGTGATATTTCACGCCAGAGTCACCCCATAAACTGAACTTCATTGTAATATAGGTTTTTCTGGTCGATATTCCCAAATTATATTTAAAACTTATAATGCGCCTCATTGCACAATTACGTAGTTTGAAATGCCATGTTCTAACCATGCCAGTTTTATCCCCTACAACGTGAGCTTTTAAAACTTCTTTAGCGGCATTGTACACTTTTTTTTCTATGGGTAAAAAATGATGAACTCGCGTCAGGTTAAACACGTGGGCTGATCGGATACACACACACAATAAAATTGGAAAGGTTGTTGACTTTCAATATATTGGAGGAAAGATAGTAATATTTTATTTTATAATAATTATAATAATAAGTCTCTATCTAGGACGTCCACGTGGCAGCTTTATTGCGAAGAAAATGCATTTTTTTACAATAGATGTCGCTAGGTGTGCTTAAATATGATTCATGTAAGTTGATTTCTTTACAATAGATGTCGCTAAGGGCGCTTAAAAGTCATTCATGTAAGTTGATTTTTCTGAGAGATAAACTTTTTTATTGTAATATAAATTGTCATGTCTGTGTACGATAGCGCAATAACTAAATATTGTATTCTACCACATACATGATACTTTATACTGATAATTAAAGCAATTCGTGCAAAATTATTCCCTAACCATTCCAAAATATCAAAAATGCCCAACGTTAATATTCAAATTTTCACTTCTGCCGGCACTCCCGGAGTGCAACCCATCGTTTTTTTTTCTTGCTCATAGAAATAAATACATTAGTTTTAAAGGTAATTACTTTATTGTGTGTAGTCTTATGTAAGGTGTAGGTTCGGTGCCCCACCTCTCTCTTAACGCTTAAAATAGATACCTTAACGGCCATTACAGCTGCGGGTCAGTGCATCCGCCCGGATAGCGGAGGGTGCGGGTTCGAGTTCCGTCTGCTGCGTGGCCGCGTGAAAGAAAATTTGACTATATAAAAAATTATATAGTCAAATTTTCTTTAGATTTAAACATCTAGCAGTTAAATGCTTAAAAATACAAATATAACTAGGTACTTTAAGTTCATTAGATTATTAGTGGTAGGTAAGTATCATTCTCTTTCTGCGTTATGGATCATTCCTACGTATCCTTAGCACCACAAACCAATGGCACAACGATGCAATCAGTGCGGCGCGTGCTCTCACTAATGCGGTTACTGTGTTTGGTCGTCCGCACCACTATACATGTGTGTTCTATTTACACTACAGTCGCTGAGATAAAAGCCACACCAAAATGCACCGTAATCCTTCAACAAAAAACACAATAGACACAGCGGGATGCCCACTGTACATGTCGGACTTTGTAATGTGATTATGAGCAACCATCTCGCTCACGAAATTGCGAGCCCTTGTTTGCTCTGATAATTGCCGAACTTGAATTTAATGTTAATGTTAATCGCCGTTTGTTTAATTATTGAGATGTATTAGATATATGGTAGGTGTGAGCGTAGTACAGTACAGGGTGTCACGACTGCTAAGCCAATGTAAAAATCGTGTCTCAATAGTGGTTCAACAGAAAAGTTTATTGACAGTTTTATAAAATAATTAATAAATATGGATTACAATAAAAAAATCTAAGTACATATACATTTATTTTGTGATTTTGTATTTTAGTAATGATAACTGTGTCAATAATCAAAGCTACTAAAACACCATTGACACACGATTACTACTTTAACTTAGCAGATTTCACACCCAGAAGCTAGTTTTTTTTTTTTGGTTAGTTGGGACGAGTTATGGGTTTCTGTGGGTTGACGCAAATTGTGCGTTTGTGACTAAAATAAAAATTGGTAAAAAGTGGTGATTAAGATATTTCAACCACTTTCGGCCCGAGGCTGCTAGGGATACTGCCAGGGATGAAAGAGGTGTTAAGTATAGGCAGAAAGAGGAGAGGAAAACAGAGACGTATTAAGATGAGGTAAGAAGATAAGATAATGAAAGGAATTAAGGGACGTAGTAGCTAGCTGGACGTAGCCCAGAAGCTAGTTAACGTAGTGGGGAAATGTGCCGCTATAGTCTTTCTCCTTATTTTCTAGCACCGTGAAGTTCTGTTAACTTTTTGATACAACGTGAAGTTTACTTTCAGTCACTTTTCATTCAAAGCACCCACAGCTTTATTTCAACACAACGCCATCAGTACCACCGTTTTTATTTACGTGCTTACGGGTAACGCCTTAGAAGTTTTTCGGTGTTCTACTTTTCTATTGTAAAAGTACTACAAAACGGTAAAAGTCAATCAAACAATTGATTTCATCCCTAAAGAAACTTCCAAATAAAAATATATCCAATATCTCGTTTCTGTTCCAGGTTTGGTTTCAAAACCGTCGGGCGAAATGTCGAAAACACGAAAGCCAGATGCACAAAGGTTAGTAGGTAACGGTCGCACTCAAAGACGTCAATTAACTTTTATGCTTGCTATATTCTATTGCCATCATAAAGAAAATTATCGTATCAAATATAATACACAAAAAAAATATTATGTTGCCGAATAAAGGTCATGGGGATTGTGACCATGCTATTTGATGACAATTATTTTTGGAAAAAAAAATGCCAGTGCAGTAATTCTAAATTTCTGCTGGTTTAAAGATTAAAAGGAGCGTCACATGACTTGATTTTTTTAGGTTTCCCCCTTTGTCCATCTCTGTCAGTGGTCAGTTTCTTAAAAAAATCCCTGTAGCTGTATTTTATATTGTAGCATTCGCTACAACAAGTTAAGAGTTCCCCACTCCTCTATACAAAAACTAGATTTTTTGGGTAAATTTAACAAAATTCCTGTATTCAAATGTTAGAATTCGACAGCATAACGGGATAAATTATTGTGAAGGGTAATTAATGCAAACGTCAACGATTAACAAATAATTAGTAAAAAAAAACCTTCCACGCTACACATAATTTCATTAGCCGAATTATCATTTTATATGCGCTGCCGATCTGTCATTGCCGCGCATTGAACAATTTATTCATACAAATTCCCTGTTCAATGTCCTTTAAAGTAGCAAATTGCAAATGATTCTGGCAAACTAGAAGAGGACATTTGGCTCGCTGTACACAAACGTAATGAGTTCGGTCGTGCGAACACTATACAGCGAGTGAATAATTTAATTACATGCTTTAATACAGTAGAGAAAGCAGGTTAAAAATTATATTAAGTCATTTGCGTAAATATATATACCTACTATTTAATTACATGGAGTCAATCTGTTTAAAAGTTTTATAAGTACATATTTTTCACACAATATCTGCATAACAAATGGTTAAATCTCCCACAATTTTAAATTTCTTTTGGGTTTTTCTTTGAAGCAAGAAAACGTAAATTGTGGTTCCATTGCGTCAGGTATCAAATCTTGACCGCTGAAGGAGGGAGGAGATCGCTAAGTGTGTTGAGCAATTTCCGCAATTTATCGTAGCGTGTGTTGCCATGTTTTTTACCGAGTTGCGCGATTCCAGCCTGGCCCGCCATTTTAATTATTCATCGGTGTGAGTTATGGTCGAATTAAAAAACTGTTAGAGTCGGACCAGAGCGGGCGGCGGCGCTGGTGGGTAATCTAATCGAGTTAGACAGAGTCATGGAGAATACATAATGCGTTAGTGTTGCGCTATAAATTGTACCGTTAGGTTGGGGAAGTATTTATTGTTGAAATCATTAAATCTCAAGTACCTTAAGAAGCAATGTGAAATCACATCGCAGAGGAAAATATTTAGGGGAACTTTCAAAGATCTAAGATGGAAGACAATAGTCCCTGAAATGGTAAAAAATGCCCGTCGAGGACTTGTCACAAACTCAATGTACACGGTGTGCGAACATTGTTTCACGAAATTTTAGAGAAACGCACGCTATGGAAGAAAATGTGAATCACGTTAATGAAGACATTACGTTGTGTTGTAATCAAAATTAAGTTTAATAAAAAGATAAGACTTAAAAGAGAATACTGAGTCCACGATCACTTTGAATCGGATCAAGCGTACTAGAGTTTGCTGGGTCAAGTCACATTAGTTCTATTATTTCCGAAACACCCTTGTTTTTTGTCCAGTCCGGGTCTCTCGGTGTCCTCGTATGTTTGGGGTAGTTTTTGTACGCGGTATTTTTAATGCTTCTTGCGCGTTACTTTATGAAGTTGTAAGCGATCTATTTTGGCGGTCAAGAAAGTCCGCGTACAGGCAAGGTCTGCGCAGGCTATAAAAGTATTTTGTGAGTTTCCCATGAAATCGTTCATTATTATATTAATTAACCGAAAATTACGTTACAGTTTTAGAATTTCATAAATATTGTTGTCTTTATTCATTACTTATGTGTTGTTAAAAATAACTTTTTCTGAACAATCTAATGAAAGGCTAACTTGAACATTGATTAAACCATTTTCCTCATTTCGTACAAAATAACACAATTTACACGGTTATCTCTACTAATAGAAGTGGGCAAACTTTATCCCGGATGGAGGCACAGAAACAAATATTCCCCTCGTAGAAGCTTTTGACGTTGCGGTATGTCATGTCTCCAGTAGTGAAGTCATATCAGCTAACGAGACATGACCGGAGCTCACATCACACTATCTGTGATTGCATGTAAGAGCTCCACGATTCGATGGAACCGCTAAACGGAGCGTAAAGCGGAAAAAAACCGCTCTCCGGAATCGAATAAAATGATTCCCCGTGGGAGCCATTCGGACGCAATCCCGCCGTCCCTTGCTAAATGTCTTATTAACTTATGTGCCCCCGCGCCCCGCTGCCACCCACTTTAACGCGAGCACAATCATGTAAAGTGAAATGAAACGGTTATTTGTAACGTCTCCCCACGATACGACGTAAGCCAGCTTCGCAAATGTTATGTCTTTGTGGTGACATTTATAGTAGATGACTGAATGTTTGCACACTGTGGTTAACGCAATTTGTTATGGTTAAGGTCACTATGATCGTTTGCAGTTTTGAATTGAACAAAATTCTTTTAAACTACGAACAAAGTCTCTTACAGTATTTACCTAAATACTGTAAGAGACTTTGTTCGTAGTTCATTAAAGCTGATTACGTAACCTTGTATAACCATGTATTTTATTGCGGGTGTAATAAAAATAAATAATTTTCATATATTTAACTGGAACAGATATTTCGCACGCACGGACGCAGTTAAAAAATGTAGAATTATCTAAAGATTCACACGCCTAAAAAAGTATGTTATGCTGATTTTTACACATTATATATTTTAAGCGTTTTTTTCTATAATGAAATTACCGCCTTGTGTTTTTGGTAATGTCTCCGTCCGTAGTTAAAATTGGATATTTAATGCTTGCTTCTAATCTAGTGCATATTAATGGAAGTTTTTCAAGTACATTTACTATGGACCATGACTGTACTAGAACTAAAATGTTTTACTATCTCTAGTCTCTAGTTCTATAAAAAATAAGTAGATTTTATAAGTATTATACAATTATTTGTGGATCATAAAAATCACGAGCATGTAAAAGCAAATGCTGGAGGATTCCAATTCCATACATCTTCGTAGAACAGACAAAAGCTGCAAATCATAAAAAATGGGTACTGGATCTTCATAAAATTAAGAATTCATTTTTAACGAAGAAATGAATCTTCACGCTGCCGGGCGGGCGCGGCGCTCGCCATAAAAACAATCACAGCGCCCGCCGTGAACTCGAGAATAAAAAGAATATACCGACGCCTAATTGTTCCCCTGTTCATAAAATTGTAAAGTTATTCGCGTAGTGAGGGTGGCGATATTTTATTGCGCAGAAACCACCGTAAAGATGTTTGGAGCGTTTTAAAATAAGCTAGACGGCGCAGCCCCGCGCCGCGCCGCGCGCCGTCAAACCCGGCTTACCTTCTAATTCGATTAAATTAAACAACTCGGAGTTAATCAAATAAATGCATGGCGGTCGAGGGAAGGGCGGGGGCGAGCGGAGCGCCCGGGCGCCGGAGTCGCCGGACCCGCTCGTATTTATGTCGGCACTTCTCGAAAGTAATTCGGTGTCAAATATGGAAATAACTCATACGCGCAGGGGCATCCATTTTCATAATGCCGACGGCGACCGGAGAGAGTGTGATTTACGAAAAGCGGTGCGCCCGCCCTCGCGGCCTCTATGTTATGTTGAATTACACTTCTTCTTTGCACTCGCTAAAGTGACTAGCTCACGGTCTTGCAGACTCAGCGAAATCGGGAAACTACGCTCATAAAACAATGCAAACAAACCAATTATACCTACACTAACAAAGTTAAGAAATCACTCATTAAGCTTTGGATCGTTTCTTAACATCAAGCAGTTTAACTTTAGTAATTAATATGAATTTATATTGTTAGTAATAATGACTTGACTGCGCCTACTTACCTGATTTCATTTACTTCTAATTCGTTCGGTGAACGAGATCTAAGGGCGTGAGTAATTAAATTAATGAATCCTTGAGACGAGACGAGTCCCACCGAACACCTTAAGTCGGTTAGATCTGTGTTAATTTATTAATTGTTCAGTTCGCCCGGCGGTGGGCGGCTATAAACAACGGATCTCACTTAATTTACGAGCAAATTATGCTTTACTTAAATATCAATTTAATTAAGTGGAGTTCGGGAATGGATCTCGGCGGATTTGCATCGCGGAGAGGCGGCGATGGGCCGGATCAATGCGAATTATCCGCCGAACCAAACCCTACCCGACTGACACGTTACAAATTGCTTCCACGCAGCGAAAAAAGTTGACCCGTTCTGCTTGTAAATAATTTAAATAAATTTTGTGCGTAGGTTTACACTCTTATTAATGCTTTACCGATTCTGCAAGTAACTGAAAATTCACGGTGTAAAAGTCATAATAACTGAAGATGATTTTTATTTAACAAATTATAATGTTTTATTATATTTCATGTTTTATTCAGATGTTTTTTCTTAAATGATGACGTCTGTCGGTAGTTAATCCATCGGTTGTTTCAAGATTATCGTACGTTCAGCTACGTAGTACGTAGCACAAGAAATTATTATGCTACGAACACTAATCGGTTATATAAACAGTGTGTTTTTTACGCATTGTAATTCAATTTATATTTGCTAATAATAAAAAATGATTGAAAATTTTGAAAATACAAAGAACTAGAAACAATGTTCTACAATCTGCACTCCTTTAAAGATCTTTTTAGTTTAACTTGAAAAAACAATTATATTTATTTATAACACGCGCAAAACTACTAACTTCGTAATATTACTTTCCTACGATTCTAGATTAGTAATACGTACGTCGTACAGTGTACACCACTTATTTGTTATATTGAACATCGGGGGGCACGGCAGTGCCCGCCAAGTCGAGCGCGAAGCAAACACTGCCGTACCATCCTTTACTCGAACCATTTCGCTGCATTTTCAGCCCCCTATTTGAG